CTCTGGGCCTGGGCGCTGTCCCTCAGCTCTTCAGCTCAAGGCGAGCGTTCTACCACTTGAGCTACAGCGCCACTTCCGGTTTTCTGTGGTTTATTGGAGATAGGAGTCTCACAGTCTCTCCTGCCCGGGCTGGCTTTGAACCGCGATCCTCAGATCTCAGCCTCCTGAGTAGCTAGGATTACAGGCGTGAGCCACCTGCGCCCGGCTTGTTGTTTTCTTAATGTTCAAATATTTGTTGACGTAATCAATATTGTGAATTGTGTTTTCAGTGGAATCCAAAGTAATTATCCAATAGCTATTGCTTTGTATTTGAAATGATGGGTTTATATGTTGAGCAAAGACTATTTGTGACTTGCTCCTTTCCATCTTTTTTAGCTTAAAATTTAAAATAAAGTAAAAAAAGATAATGGACACAAAGCTGAAACTGGGAGTGAATACTGTTTATATACATGTGTATATGTGTATGCATGTATATATGTAAAATACGAGTCTTATGTACTTGGTAGAAGTGATAAAAAACTCTGAAGAACATTGTGACTGAAACTTAGAGTTGTCCCCAGTATCTGTTCCTCCTTGTGTTGTAGTAATTGAGTCCCTGATGGTTTTGCTGGGCAAATGTCCACACAGAAGGAAAACTAGGTTTGCTAGGCTATCCTGTAGTTTGGAATGGTTAGTAGTTGGGATCTGGGCAGGCGGATGCGGGTGAATGTGATGTAGACATCTATGTGGGGTGGAGAGAGTAGCTTTAGCTGAAGAAGATGGAAGGAACCGGAGGCAGGCCATGAGCTGGAGCCAGCCCTGAGTGCACACACAAAGGGTGAGGCCGTGCTTGCCAGTACGGTTCAGGATGGAGTCTGATGGGACTTCACATGTACTGCATGTGTGGAAGAAACTAGATACGTCAGGACCCTGCAGGACTGCTTTCCGGCAGAGTAGAGGAGTTACTCTTTCCTTACCCAGCATGTCTATCTCTGTCTCTCTCTCTCCAGAAGTGGCTGTGATATACTAATTTTGTTAGAACAGTAACCCACTGTGAAATTTTAATGGAAACAAGTAATATTAGAGAATTTCTTACTTTTTTTTCAATTGTTGTTGTTGGTTGTGGGGCTTGAACTCAGGGCCTGGGCGCTGTTCCTGAGTTCTTTTTGCTCAAGGCTAGTGCTCTACCACTTTCAGCCATAGCTCCACTTCTGGTTTTCTGAGGATTAGCTGGAGATGAGTCTTCATGGACTTTTCCTGCCTGGGCTGGCTTTGAACTTTGATCCTTAGATCTCAGCCTTCTGAGTAGCTAGGATTATAGATGCATATTCTGTTCATCTCCTAGGAATATCTTCCTTGTATCTCATTGTGTGTGACTGCCTAGAGACCTGTAGTTATTTTAGTTTATTTTAAATGTCTTGCTTTGTACCAAGAGGCTTCTGTGTTGTGTGTGTGTCTTTGTTTTGGGTTTTTTTTGTTTTGTTTCCTTTGGGGGTGAGGAGCAGTTATGGGGCTTTAATATCCCTGAGCTCTTTTTGTTCAAGGCAAGCACTCTGCCACTTTGAGCCACAGCTCCACTTCTGGTTTTCTGGTGGTTAATTGGAGATAAGAGTCTCATGGATTGAATTGCCTGGGCTGGCTTTGAACTGCAGTCTCAGATTTTACCTTCCTGAGTAAGCTAGGATTAAGGCATGAGTCACCAGCTCTTGGCAAATTTCTTCTTTTAAAATCCAAAACTTAAGTATTTTCTTACTTGAATTAAGAATTTTATGTAGGACATTGCCCCTAACTTTCAGTTTGCTAAAAATACTTTCTAGTAATAATAAGTAGAAAACTTATGATTTATAACTAGTAAGAGTATTGGGACTATTTCATTTTGTCAAGATAATCTAGGTTTATTTTTAGGCAAAACTTTTATGACTCATTATGAGTGATATAACTTTATAAAGTTCTTGATAGTTAACTTTGAGACATAGTGATCCTAAAATGTTTATTAATGACATTTAGTGTCCTTTTAATGAAAATACACTTCTTTGTTTCCTTATGGCTGAGTGTATACTCTATATGCCATGTGTTACATAGGTAAAATTTGTGTAAAATAATGTTTGTACATGTATATGTGTATAATTGTATGTATATATGTGAGTATCCTAGGAGAAAATGATTAGAAGGAGTTAGACCAAATTATAGCATATTTCAGAGGTAGGATTCCATCTGACTTGAAAAGTATTGTCTTTATATGTTTTAAAGTAATCCTAAATCTGTGATAAATGTTTTAATGTTGTTTCTGTAAGGACTTGTCCTGAAACATTGTTTCTTTTGTGGAAAGAGTTTTTCAGCTTATATCTTTAATGGACACCAGATTGCCTCAGTCTTCTAATGAGAAAATAGAACTTGCAATTCTGTGGTTCTTGGATCAGTTTCGTAAAACATATGTTGGTGATCAACTTCAAAGAACCTCAAAGGTAAGTTTTACTGATGAGAGATTTTTTAAATGTTATTAGAGATAAAGATGCACTTATAATAGCTGTGAACCAAATGATGTGGATTTCTGCAAAAAGAAATGTAATTGATCAATTTAACTCATTTGTTTAATTGACATTGAAAAGCAATGTAGAATCAATTTGCTTGTTTTACACTTATATTTACCTTTTTTGTGGGATGAATAGCAGAAAGGTAAATATTTTTACATGGACTAGGATGATTTTAAATACTTCAGTGGTTGTTGCAAGAATGGAAACAGGATTTGCCTTTTGGTTGTTCTGTGGTTTTTGGAGATGTATGTAGTTTTCACTTTATTGAACTGATTCCTTGATTAGGAAAATTAGATAAGTACTTGACAGCTGCAGTTAAATCACTGCAGTGTGGAGAATATTTGTCATATGATCACTGAAAGATTAGCACCAGGAAGGGTAGATGAATTCATTTTGAGGAATAATGTAGAGGTTATTGAAGGCATTTATGTGAACCCTGAGCAGATACTTTGTTTTATCCTTAGCTCTCTATATTCTTGGATTCTGTAACCCACGGATTCAACCAACTATGGATGGAAAATGATCAAAAAAGGACACTATATTTGTACAGACACATATACACACAAACTTCTTTCTAGTCAATATTACTTCAGTAGTACAGGAACACATCTGCATAGCCCTTACACCCATACTGAATGTTACAAGTAGTCTGGAGATGATGTAAAGTGTGTGAAGATGTGTGTAGGTTATATGTAAACTTTGTACCAATTTATCTGAAAGACTCAAGCACTTGAAGACTTTATAAACCCCCACGGCTCCTTGAACCAGCCCCCTTCAGTACAGAGATGTGACTAATGATCCAGAGTAATATTTGTGAGATTTTTTCTGCTTTTTTTACTTTTTTCTAGGATAGAAAGAAAACTTCTTTCTATAACTTCTCTAGAGAAGTCTTAAGAATACTCTTATCTTGTTTAGATTTGTTTTAGTGATGTTGAAGGACTACTTTTTGAAAATCCTAGAAAATTAAGCTTCCTTTCCTCCCTCCCTCCCTTCTCAACTCCTTTCTTCCCTCTGTTCCTTTTCTGTTTGAACATAGGGCCTTTTGCTACCTTGGTTAGCCCTCTACCACTCAAGTCTTTCCTCCAGCCCAGCTTGTGCTAGTTAATAGGAGATGGTTTGCATGGATTTTTCTGTCTGGGCTGGCCTTAATCCTTTTTCATCAAGATCTTAGCCCCCTGAGCAGCTAGAACAACAATAATTTGCCACCAGGGTATGGCCTCATGTAAGTTTCCTTGTATTAGGGAATTTACCTTAACCTTTAGTTTATTTATAACTTTTTGATGATAATTTCCTGTTCTAAGCTCATCAATTAGCCAATGTTAGGTAAAATTTTTCATTGCTTTTTAAGAATATACTGTATCTCAATGCTTCCTTTCTAAAACATTGTGATTTGTTACATAGCATAAAGTTTATACATAATGCCTCTTTTTTACTCCCAGATGTGCTTCTCAAAGATTAAATATAAGTCAAATTATGATAATTGTCTTATTTAATGCACTCAAAGAACTTGTTTTGCTTTTGTAAAAGTGAGTACTTTTGAAACATTGCTAATCCCATGTTCATTTATTTGGTCTGGATTTTAAGTCAGAATAGTATAATGTGGAGTAGAAATGCCTGTAATTATTATCTTTAAAGTACTAGGAAAAAATAGAAAATGTGACTAACTGTTTTAGAGCAGGAGTTGGATTTTCAATTTTTTTATTTGAGATATATACATAAATAAATATACATGTGACTTTTTATGAAAGAAAACTATGAAAAGAGTGAACTTTTTTCCTTTCTCCTTTTTGAAAAATTTTACGTATTAGGAAAAAGTAGGTGATATCAGACTGGTATTGATTCTTTTATTATAGCTAACATTTTTGGGTCAATCTTACTGTTATCAGAGGAGTTTAGTCTTAAGTTATCTTTATTTCTAGGGTACTTATATTAGTAAGTTTTTGTCATTGTGATACAATAACTGAACGATTAGGGGAAGGGTTACTTTGGCCCATAGTTTGAGTCTGTGGTCTCTTGGCCTCTTTGCTGTGTGTCTGTGGTGAGACACCAGGCGTTACAGTAGCGGAGGCAGAGCCATTGACCCGTGGTATCCAGAAGCAGAGAAACACAGAGGCATGGTCTGGGGACAAGCTAGGCCCAATAACTGACTTCCTTCAGCTCAGCCTCACTCCTAACAGTCCACTCAACCTGTACTCATCAGTGGGTTAATCCATTGATGAAGTCAGAACCCTCAAAGCCTTCAACATGTGAGCCTTTAGAAAATGGTTCTAGATTCAGGTCATACGTTCCTATTGCATAATCCAAAGTGAAGCTGGAGCTTCCCGATTTTCAATTTTCTACGGCTTCTTTGCTGATCTTAGTAGAAACCAAGTTTTGGGAGGTCTTAGTATGTACTTATACTCTTCTCAGAAATGTTCATGCTTTCTATTCCTTACAACAGGCCTGCAAGGCTGGTATTACTATTCCAGTTTTACTAATGGAAAAATAGACTATCATTAGTACTACACATAGGTGACCCTCCACTTCCATGGGTTCCACACACATGGATTCAGCTAACTGTGGATCAGAACTACTCAAAAAAGAAGGACCAGGTGTGGCGGCAGTCGGCCAAGGCTGGCCTGCACAAAAAGCATGAGCCCTGTCTCAAAAGTAAACTCAATGAAGAGGTCCAAGAGCATTGCTCAAGTGGTAGAGTACCTGCTTAGCAAGCATAGGCCCTGAGTTCAAGCCCCAGTAGCATAAATATATATTCAAAGAAGAAAACTGCATTTACATTGGCCATGTAGTTTTTTTTTTGTCTTTTCATTATTCTCTAGATAACACAGTGTAATGACTATTTGCCTAGTATTTACATTGTAGTTGGTACTATAAGTGCAGGAGGAATGATTTAAAATTACATGAAAATGAGTGCAAATTCTGTGCCATTTTTGCGTAAGGAATTTGGGCTCCTGCAGATCTTGTTAGCTGTGGAGAATTGTGGATCCAGTCCTTCATGGAGAGCTAGGGCATATTCTTTCTTGGTAAGGCAGATTAGGTAGAAATTAGTTCTTGGTGAGTGAGTGTGTTGTCTGATTCTAAATTGTAGCCCCAAAGTGGAAAGTAGTGGATGGTAACAAGTGAATAATGTTTAATAATTAGAGTACATTTACGTCGTTCTAGGAAGTGTAGTAGGCACTTTTAACATACGTTGTTCCTACACATTTCACCAGCTTCATGCTTAAGAACCCATACTTAACAATATATGCATTAACTTTCTTCCAACTAACCTAGCAGTTTGCTTTCTATTAATTCTGAGTATTAGAAAAAAATAATTCCCTCTGCCTAGGACAATTCTTTTCTGTCTGTGTCGTGTAGCACCTGTCTATCCCTCCTCCAGCGTTCATTATACTGCATTGTAATTGTTACCAATGCATGTAGGGGCTGCAGTTTTGATTGGTAACATATCTGCCTTGTTCATTATTGTCAACCCCAAGGACCTGGTGTGTGGCTTGTATGTTTTCTACTAATGTCAATGTTTGTATTTAGTAGAATTCTATAGCATTGAGGCTAAATTTCCTGTTCAGTACTCTGAACAAGAGTTTATAGGAAAATGATGCTGACTTGAGTAAAATTATCCAATTTTAAGCATCTTAAAAGTTTATAAAAACTTACATATATATATAACAAAATACTATTGATATAAATTGCTTTAGAGAAAAGGTAAAATCACTAAGTACTCCTTAGTGCTGTGTATGATAGAATTATGTCCTCTGGCAAAAGGGTAGCTGTAAACAATGAACAGTTAGTCCATGCTAAGTGATCCTTTCCTTTTGATGTCAAAATCTAGAAGTCCAGATTATGAGCATCAAGAACTCCTGGTATGTAAATACCTTATGTCCTTGTAAATCTGTGGAATAACTTAGAATTTTTATTAAGATGATAAATGCTCATTGATACATTTTTAAGCTGTCTAAACTCAAAAAAGGAATTATCTCAACTTTCTTTTTCTTATATCCATTTCTGAATTGTTTGATGTAATTACTCTTGCTATCCAGTTTTTCTCCTGCTGTTAAGTACACATGTGAAGCAGCAGATGGCATTCTCTCCCTATAATTGTTAGGTCTTCCTGGGTGTTGTGTTAGTAACAGTTACTATTTTATTATTCAAGTGCTTCCCTACTCAACAGTAACAGTAACTTAAGTTGAAATTGAAAATAACAATCCAATGTGGCAGTGAATGTATTATTAGGCTCCATTTCCGACACTTAGATATATTTTGATTATTGGTGAAACATATCTTTTATGCTTGATACATACTTTTTTCAAAAAGTATTTAGGAAGAACAGTCACAAGAAAACTGTCTCTTATGCATAGAGTTATCACTGTGGTTTTTTAAAAAAGGAAGATGGGTACCAGTGGCTCACATCTGTAAAACTAGCTACTCAGAAGGCAGAAATCTAGGGATCATTGTTCAAAGCTAGCTGGACAGGGAAGCCTGTGAGACTTGAGCTCCAATGAAGCTATTAACAGCAAGAAGCTGTTAGTGGAGCTGTGACTCAAGGGGTAGAGTGCTAGCCTTGAACAAAAAAGGTAAGGGACAATGTCCAGGCCTCGAGTTCAAGCCCCAGCACAGAGGAAAATAAGTATCAGTTTTAATATTTTAAACAACAGACATTTAAATTTTTAAATATTTTAATGTTTGAAATCTGCACTGCAGACTCTAGGAGGAAGTGCCTGCACAGCTCAGGTTATATTCTGAAGCCGGATTGTTAGAGATTAGTGTTCAGTGGCCTTTTCTGTTCAGTGTGTCTAAACTTTGTAAGCTTCATTTTCTAGCTTCCCTTAGATTGCTGCACACTGTAAAAATACATCAGAATCTCTTTTTGTGATAGTGTTACTTGCCCTAGATTTTTCTTTTGGTAAAAGTGATCACTGCTTATAATTCCAGTTAATGTTTATACTGCTAGTTTTATTGCTCATGGATTTCCTCTTTAAACAGTCAAACAACATATCTAATACATATGCATTAGTATTCAGACAAACCCTTTAAAAATTATTTCTCTATATCCCTTTGCATTTAACTCATCCTATATAAGATATATTCACTATAAAATATTCTATAGCTTATTTAAGAAGCTAGTTATCTTATTAGATGAATTCCTATTTTTTAAATGCTCTATAAATAGACTTGCCAACTTAGTCCTGGATGATTTGCAGAGGTACAGTTTATATTTACCAAGTTACATTTACCAAGTATGAACTCTTAACTGCATTTAAGCATTTATCCAAGGACATTAAGCAGCAGACAAAGTCCAAAGTAGACAGATAAAAACTTAAAATATTAGCACTACTCATGATTGAAATTATGAATAATTTGGGAAAACATAGGTTGTAAATTGGAAACAATAGAATTTGTTTGTTTATTTATTTATTTTTGTCAGCTGTGGGGCTTGAACTCTGGGCCTGGGCGCTGTCCCTCAGCTCTTCAGCTCAAGGTGAGCACTCTACCACTTGAGCCACAGGGACACTTCTGGTTTTCTGAGTGGTTTATTGGAGTTAAGAGTCTCATGGAAGATGGCTCAGTGGTAGAGCGCTTGCCTTGTATGCATGAGGCCCTGGGTTCGATTCCTCAGTACCACATAAGCAGAAAAAGCCAGAAGTGGCACTGTGGCTCAAGTGGTAGAGTGCTAGCCTTGAGCAAAAGCTCAGGGACAAAACCCAGGCCCAGGACTGGCAAAAAAAATAAAAATAAAAAAATAATAAAGAAGAGTCTCATGGAGCTTCCTGCCCAGGCTGGCTTTGAACCGAGATCTTCAGATCTCAGCCTCCTGAGTAGCTAGGATTACAGGCATGAGCCACTAGTGCCAGGCAAAAATAGAATATTTTTAAAAGCTGATTTCTATTGCTCATTTATCATGCCAAATTAGATTCACCATTGTTACCTAATTGTATTTTTTTTTTTTTAGTTCTTAGGCTTGAACTCTGGGCCTGGGCGCTGTCCCTCAGCTCTTTAGCTCAAGGCTAAGCGTTCTACCACTTGAGCCACAGCTCCACTTCTGGTTTTCTGAGTGGTTTATCGGAAATAAGAGTCTCACAGACTTTTCCTACCTGGGCTGGTTTTGAATCATGATCCTCAGATCTCAGCCTCCTAAGTAGCTAGGATGACAGGCTTGAGCCACCAGCACCCGGCACTTAATTGTATTTTATACGATTATATAATTGTCTGTACATATATTCATTAGACACTCATTTTCTTCCGTATGTCAAGTACTGTGCTAGATCCTGGAAGAAACCACAAAATATTACTCTTTTTAAAGATGAATACCTACCAAGAGCATTTGTAATCTATGTCTGCTTCAAATTTATTTTTAATGATTGTAAACTCTAAGGTATTTATAAAAATTGAAAACTTGGTAAATGGAGGAAGAAAAATTATGTATATTCTCAGATTACAAATGACATTTTCTAAATTGTTCTCTTAAGTAATTTTTAGAAGGTGATAATTGGGGCTGGGA